TGTCTACTACAACTCTTTTGTTGTTGTTGTTACAAGCCCTCATGCTTTTTGATGTACCTCCTTTGACACAATGTAACATCTTTTATTATTACTTTCTGTTTGTTGTCAATAAATATAAAAGAAAGAAAAGAAAAGAAAGAAAGATCTCTGGCTACAACAACTGGAAACGTTGCTGTGGCAAAGTTGAAGAAATATATTTATTTCACAAGAAGTTACTTGTTTCTGTTTGAAAAGAAATTCAGACCTGCGATGACACAAAGACATTTACAGAAACAAGTTTTCGAGTATGTCAGCAAATTGCGCATTTGACAATATATGTCTATCATATTATCGCATCAGATATCTCAGAGCACTCTTAACGGGAGACGGTGTCAGATAGTAAATATAACATAATAATACCATCTTTTATCGCTCTTGTTACGGGAAACGGTGCATAAAACAGGTAGCTAACATATGTCACACGCACCATTTCGAAATACCCGATCAAAAACTAACCTACAACACTTATCAATAAGCAATATTCAATATCACCCATCCAGCAGAGATCCACAACTATCCACAGGAAAACTTTCAAGAGGACAATCCCGAGTCTGTTCTCCCTTACCAATCCATAATCATTCAACGCCATCAAGTTTACTCCCAATTGTAATCAGCGGCGACGAAGAGGAAAAAAGAGATACAATGGACAAAGAACAAGAACAGTTCGAGGATGATAATAAAGAACAGTTAGAAGCGTTCAACACATCATTTCAAACAACAAAACAAATGGAAAAGCAACTGCTTAACAAGATTCCACAACTGAAAAATCCAGCAGTAGGACCAGAAGAAGTCAGTCAATGGCTCAAGTCAGTTGAAATTATTTTTAGTAAATTAAATTATCCACGGCTATGTTGGTCTGACGAATCATCCAGATATCTACTAGAAGATTCTTTAAATGGTATACCAACAGCAAGGCAGTGATCAATAATAATTGGGAAAATTTTCAAACACAGTTAATTCAACATCTTACAAGTCCGGAAGATCAAAATGGAAATACCACACAAATTACCACACACCATTCAACAATTCGCACCATCCTAAGAGAGGGTAGCGAGAATGACGAAAAAGCATTCGATGATTTCCTTCGTAATAATTTTACGAAATTTTCGGAAGGAGAAACTGAAGATCCAGAAACATGGTTGCTTGAAATCCTTACAACATTCGAATCACTAAAAATTCTAGAATCAGAGTGGCTTTCATATGTATCCGCGTTGTTGATATTGAAAGCACGATTATGGTATGGCAAACATAAATCCAAATTCAATGATTTTGATAATTTCGTGGAAAAATTCACACTTGAATTCCGTCCTATTGAACGTATAGCTAGTAATCATACACCCACAACAACATCAACTAGCGATCATACAACAACAAAGAAGCATCCAATAGAATTCAGTGTAATTAAAACATGTAGTGAGCAAGTAGTTAAAAATTTAAAGAAATTTAGTGGTAAAAAGGAAGAAAACGTCATGAGATGGCTCGATGATATGCAAGTTCAATTTGATGCCAATAGCTGGTCAGACGAAATCAAATTAACAATTCTACCCATAGTTTTAGTAGATAATGCATTAAAATGGTATGCAAGAAACTCAACATCACTTACATCATGGAAAATGTTTTTCCAATTAATCAAATAAGAATATGGATCAAAATTTAAATAACAACAAGCACTTGAGCGTATGTATAATTACAAACAAACTACAACCCAGTCAGTCAACGAATTTTATCATGGCATTTTGGACATTTGTCGTGATTTTGATCCAAAACCAACTGAACAAACCATACTGGATCATCTAATATTCAACGTCAAGCAGCCGTTAAAAGAAAATTTTTTAGAAAGATCACCAAAAACAACTGCTGAATTTCTAAATTACGCGAAAACATTTGAACAGTCGCTGAACTGATTCAAAAAGATGTAAAAGAAGTACAAACAAACCGTGAACCAAAGAACTTACCGTATGTAGCTCCTCAGTGAAGAACTAATGGACAGATAGTAAATGGACGATTAAAAAATTACGGCTTCTTTAACAAAACAGTACAAAATTCGTCGCTAGGATTTGTCGAAGATTATCTTTTGATAGTCTGCGCTTTGATAAACTGCTATAGAAAACCAACTGCAACGTCGAAACCTGAAGATGTTGATGTTCGTGGAATAATGCTGTCACTTCTCAACCAAAAAAATAAAGTCTATGCGGTAATAACTACCTACCATTACTTCACTGCCTAGAGTTATAAGTTTTTTTAGCTGATACAACAACACAATTTGTCTCAAACTTCTCAATGCGAAAATATTGATGGAACGTCACTCTTTTCGACATTCCCATTGTTATCCGAAGAAGAGATAGGAGATATAACTTTAGGTAACATATCACAAAAGTTCTCTTATTCCACAAAGCCTTACGTGCTATTTGACTATTCTAGAGGTATTTCAGTTGAAGCGTGCAAGATCGTATGTCGAAGGGCATTGTTTGTCAACCAAACTAACAGAACCGATTACTTATCTTGTCCAAAGGTGCAAAACAATCCCAAACATGATAAGAGTAACAACACAATCAGCACATGCCACACGGAAATCTTACCACGCAGTCATACAATTTAACAAAGACGAGATCACTGGCTGGTATTGCGAATGCCCAATCGAAGCCGTATTCTTGGATGCTGTAGTCATGTTGCTTCTGCCATTTAGTTCTTAGGCTACGAGCGTTGGCAGACCAAACCGCGCGTCATGCCCTCCGGCGATTTTGTCCAACAGACAGTATTCAAGTTTCAGACTTTTGTGATTCAACTGATGATGAAGATGTAAATACTCGCTATTCTTTAAAATAAAACACTTTGGCCTACGTGACCTTAACCAGAGACGCCAACACAGGTATGAACATCTTGTAGCCCGCGAAATTCTCTATCGAATGATATATAAAGTGACGTGGTTAACAATAACTGGTTGGACAATACAAGCGATAAACGCTGGTGACCTATGGATTTGTGGAGGTGGGAGCTAGTATTTCTCGTGTTAGGACATCTACGCCCCATTTGTTCTCAATGTTATATATATCATTTTGTAGCCCGCGAAATTCTCTATCGAATGATGTACAGTAGTTTAGATTTTCTTTGGGCAAAGAGGAGAAACTGGGAAAATATTCTAAATAAAGTTCATTAAAGGGGAGAAAAGTTTGGATGCGGAATTTTTTCCAGGGGGGCTGAAAATGGTTTTTCTGAGATTCTAGTTTTAATCAGCGAGAATCAGACTGGTGAATATGAGCTTGATCTGAGAGGGGGCCGATTTTGCCTCTTATCGACCCCCGTCCTTTAGCCACCAGTCCTTCTCCACAATAACTTGTGTACTTCACAACTGCTTCATCTGTTTTACTGACTGCTGAACTGACTTATCCACACCTCCTATACAAGAACTTCATGTGTTTTGCTGAAGAGATCGATGTTTCTCCCCAAGTGCTTCCGAAATCCTGAAGGAATCGGTGTTAATCAAGAAAAATTCCATACCTTTTGCTCAAGACATCGGTAGTTCTCTATTATTTTTTAAATGCAAAAAATCTATTTAAATACATTATTTTTGAAATTCTTTTAGAAAAGTCTGTTTAAATTAATTTTTAAAAAGATTCTTTTAAATTCATTCCGCGTAACTTTTCGTGCGAAAATCTATTTAAATTCATTTCTGTCTCAATGAATCTGGTTTTAGTTTCTGCGAAAATCTATTTAAATGCATTTTATTTCTATATGAAGAAAAAAAAATTTAAATTAACCTTTTGCAAAAACTAAAACCAGATTCATTGAGATAGAAATGAATTTAAATAGATTTTCGCACGAAAAGTTACGCAGAATGAATTTATATGAATTTTTTTTTAATTAATTTAAACAGATTTTTCACGCAAAATGAAACAAAAAGATGTATTGGTCCAACATGTGTAAGATTGATTCTAGTGATTTTGGTACTTATGTTATCGGGGAGCTGTTCAGATATCAGGTGGTCAATAAAAACGAGTATACAAATATTTTTGTCTACTTTCTGTCTGTGTATATTTTATATAACATACAATTTATACGATAGACACATCACGTGTCACACGTGTGCCCAGGTCGACGGTCACGCCTAAGTCGCGACGCAATCGCAATGTCTTGATCGCGATCACTATAAACTCATGGCTGTCGCTTAGCGATCGCCACAAAGTCACGTTATCATGTCATGATAAGTCGCGACGCGACTCACGTCATGGAGTTTTATTGGTGGATATCGCTAGTAATTTTTTTGAATTACAATTTGAATTTTGCAATTTGAATTTTTTTCTCTTATTTCAAAGTAAGAATTTAGTGTATATTTCGTATACAAATTGATACTCCAAATTCTGTTTATAACATAAATAGTATATACTATGTGTCCATAGACACATGTGTGATCTAGGATATGTGTTTTTATTATTCTCATTTAAATGAGATATACAAAAAAAAATCAGTGTTCGTTATACACAAGACACATCATATTTTCTTAATGTGCAGATTATAGTTACGCTCGATTTTTTTGCAGTTTATATCTGCTTTTTTTCACTTTTTCAAGAGAGAAGCACATGAAAAAATAAATAAGATACACAGTAAGTACACAGCAATTTTAATGAACGAAGGAGTATGGAAACATAAATCCTTTCCACTTTTGTTGTCACAAAGTTGAAGTCTTTTTGTTTAACTATTCTGGGTATCAAAACGGACTTCTACTATGTACAACTTCGCTAAATATTTTAACTTCGCCAGGTCTCAAAATAAAATTGCAGCAAAGTGAGAAATGCATCATATGTTGATGTCATCGCAATCGTGAGTATCCTCGGTGTAAGATCGCTTTGTCGTTGGTGACTTTCAGGATGTAGCGAGTATCATTTCGGTCCTGTTTGACGCAGAGAGGATTGGGGCTAAGCCATTCCGCCTCATTCACAGGATGCTAGATTGGCTCTAGCAACGAACTGATATTAGCGTCTAGTATTTACGAATACGCATTCTCTGAAAGTTCAAGCGTGAATGTTTTCTTCACATACGACAAACGTTACCTTATTGGTAAGGCTCACGTTAGAATCATAAAACATCAGCCTCTCTCACCTTTATTTTGATACCAGATTTTGAATCATAAGGAAGAGAAAACTTCGTCCGAAATGAAAATTTCTTTCACTAAAGTTATCACAGCTCACGATTAACTTTTTAGAAATAGACTGAAGAAGATAGTTAAACATCACAACAGGAATACGCCGGAAGGATTTAAAGGAGAAACTTGATCTCCAAAATTTTTGCTGTGCACTCATTTTGTATTCATATAACTTCAGTAAAAATGTCTTTCAGGTAGAAATTGTGGAGTACTGAACGCATCGTAGGATCGACGTAAACTTCCAAAACCCGCATCATGTTCTTCAAGAAAAGTCCGAGTAAAACATGGTGCGATCAAGAACTACAGCTATGTACAACGGGCTGTCAGAGTTCCAGTCAAGATTTTCACCTGAATTACGCTATCTTTTTGGTTCTAAACTCTTCTAAGTGTTCAGTCTCACCTACCGGATGCGAAAGAAGTTGAATTCTGATGCCTCTTTACTAAGTTCTGATGGATTATAGATGAAACACCAGAGTTTATAATCCTAACATCTGGTGTATGTCACCGAATTCTGCTATACGTTATTAAATTCTGACGAAGATATATTCCAGTAAGAATTTTCCACTCAGCCCAATTTAACATCCTATACACTCATTGTTTATTTTTCATTCAATTTTTTTTACTGGAATATATCTTCGTCAGAATTTAATAACGTATAGTAGAATTCGGTGACATACACCATATGTTAGGATTCTAAACTCTGGTGTTTCATCTATAATCCATCAGAACTTAGTAAAATAGGCATCAGAATTCAACTTCTGATGCATCGAGTAGGTAAGAATGAACACTTAGAAACATTCGCGAGAGTTTAGGTTAAAAAGATGGCTCAATTACGGTGGAAATCTCGCTTTTTATTTACTAGAACTCTGACAACCCTCATTTATATACCAAATATCACGAGTATAAATAAAATTTAAAAGGAAGATGATAAAATATTATTTTAGAATAATAGTTAATAATAAATATTACGAGCATGGATAAAATTAAAGAAAAAATAAAATGAATAATTATAAAGGAGCATTCTAAATCTTTTTTTGAAAAATTCCGGTATTATGCTATAGAAAATCCCATTCTCTTTGACTAGTGAGACCTTAATGGGGCCTGAGAAAGCTCACCTAACTGCATAGAGTATCCCACGGGCTAAGGAGCAGGGCTTAGTGTCAGCTCTCTTGGGACTCCAAATGAAAATCCTAGCGTGAATGTGTTCTTCACATACGGTTTCTGTATCGAACCGGAGCTGAGCAACTGAAATACGAGTTTGAGAAAAGAGAAACCTTTAAAAACAATCCCTAAAAATTGTTTTCATTCAGAAAACCTGTATACAAGCCCTGTTTAGACAGGAAAACTCAAAATCGAACAAGCACTGCAAGAAGTAGGAGAAGAAAACAAGCACGAGTAAGTAAAAGTCGCGATAGGAGTCTTGCTGAAGAAAAATCGTGACTGCCTGCGTAGTCACGTCGCGACAGCGGGAATCATGCCGCGACAACAGCTAGTCGC